TTTATCGGTACAGCAGAATTTTTACAGATTTTTAGCAGAAAACAACTTTGGTAACATTTCTATTTTAAATATAATTCACTTCAGTTTTTGTTGTCTTACACTTCAGATGATTTATAGTGTGTAATGAACAACTTTAATTATTAATATTATCATTAGTGTACCTTTGACGCTAAAAATTCTTCATATATTATAGCGATTAATTGACATTTTTAATTGATCATTGGAGTATCTAATGAGGTAGGAAGTTTACTTGTCCTATTAATAAATGAATAAGATATTTTTATATTTATAATATTTATATATTTAAATACATATGAAATTAAATAAAAAATTTGTTTTTGTCGTTGTTGCAAACGTACATAAATGATAAAAGTCAAAAAACTGTAGACCATTTGTCAGATGCGTAGCAAAAATACAACTGTACACTTTTAAGTAACAGTTCAAACGTTTAGTAACTTTGTTAATGGTCGACAGCAAATGACCTCAAAAATGATAAATTAATTACTTATTAGCGTTTACAAACAGGTTCTAATGATGAAAAATGAATGAAAAGTTCAGATTTTATGTCAACCTATCAGTCATCTGTTTGTCACTGTCTTCCTGTTGCATACTTCTGAATGCTGTTGGTGTGGATAATGGTCTTCCGAGAAATTATAGGTTTTATTAATTTAAAGCAGAATCAGCGTTTAGAAAAGTTGACAAATTTTGTACAGAAGAAGATGATATTTGAATCTGAGGAAAAACAAGGGATATTTATTGCATAACTCAGAAATACAGCTTCAAAACTTCAGTGAAAAGAAGTGAGCTGACCGATTTGGTGCTAATTGTTGTTAAATTCAAATTCACAGATCTTGCAGTCTGTTTTTTTGGCTTAAATTTTCCTAATTTTCCTTTCTCAGTGTTCGTTGAAAAAGCAACTGCAAATTTTGAGTGCAGAATTTTTTGATACTGTTAAAACGGTAAATTGTTTGCTGCATTTTTTAAAGCATTACAGCACAACTGTGCTGTTATTTGTATTGTTCAGAGTAAAATTGGTAAAAAAAAAAAAAAAAAA